GGATGATTCTGATTCTGTATTTAATTATACACTAGAGGAACTTATCTAGTTCCTTCACAAATGCCCTTTTAAGTCCCAGTCTTTTAATTTCTTCACTTCAATTTCCATTTTGATTTATGACTGAGCCAAAGTATAGAAAATCTTTATTGCTTCCTTGCATTCCCTTACCGACTAAAGTTTACATGTGCTGAGGTGCTTCTATATGCACTTTTAAAATAGCTTTCATTGATGTATCCAGATTCTGTAGTGTGAACGAACCCAATGGAGGTTAGTTTTTTCCCCATTATTCTGAATTTGTGAGCAGCATTTATAATAAGATAAAATATTTGATCCACCTGAGGCTTTCCCTGTCAGGAAGCAGAATGAAATATTGGAAGAAAAAAGGGATAAGGCTATATTTAACTCACACTTTCTTGTAATTAACTACAGTAATTTGAAGATAGTTCTCCACATTTGCAAGTTTAACTTTTGCGATTTTGATTAATTTTGGATTTGATTCATTGTGGATTTGATTAAAAGGTTCACTTGAGTATCCCTAGGGCTTCCAGGGCTACTCTATGATCAGCTTCCACCAGAAGTTGACCATACAGCCAACTGGAAGACCTAAAAGTTCCTAGAATTGTTTGTTGTTCAGGGTTTTTGGTTTTTTTGCATTTATTCTTCTCTAAGCAATACAAAAAAGGAGGACCTACAGTAGTACTATTTATAGTTGTCCATAACAGAGAAATCTTCTAACCCTGTCATTTCTGTTCAGTCCTAGTTTGCATTTTCAGGTTATATTTTGCCACAGATAGGACTTCATCCAATACAGCCTTCTCTCCATCTTTTCTCCATTTATCTGTCCTGCTGAAATGGAGTCCCATGAAGGCAATCATATGGAACAATGCCACTTCCAGTGGATGTCCCTGAAACTCTGTTGTGTCAGTACACAGAACCGGAAGAAGACTGCATTTTTAGATGTTGGGTGCTACTCAGTTCCCAATGACAAAAGATGGAGAGAAACTGGATAGAGATAGGGAAAGGACATGGGATGGTTGCCATCCCTGAAGATGGAAAGGCATGGGACCTTGATGGTAGGGAACAAAAGAAGACCGTTCCCCCCACTTTTCCCCACTTTCATGTGATGAGGTCATAAGTGACTCTTATGCCAGTGGGGAAGTGAATCTCCTTTTAGGTGCTATAGGAACTTTAAATTGGGTTTTCAATGCACTGTACCTATTTGGGAAGGAGATTTTTCACCTCAGGTAGCGCTGTTTAAAGCTAGATGAAAACCCAAAGTGAATTTGCTGCCCCACTAATGCTAAATCAGCAGTCACCACTGACTCTCCATTTACAATAAATTCCAACACTCAAGACATCTTTTCCTTCGTTTGTCCTTCAGTCTGATAAAGAATTGTGCAAAACAGAAGGGAGGGCAGGAAAAAAAGAGAAAATAATGAAAAGGAGAGTTGACCTACCTCTCTCACACGATCTGCCTAAGTAGCCTGTACCAGAACAATCACAGACATATCTGTTCCAGCCATCTCTGCACACACCATTGTTTTTACATGGATTGCTCAAGCAAGGTTTTGCTGTTTCTCTCGAACATGAAGGTTTCACCCCAGAAGTGCTTTGGATTTCTGCCATTTGGCGAATATCTTTGCTTTGACCATCAATAAACAGGTCCCGGATGCAGCCCACGTAGCCATAATTTAGGAGTGCTGTCCAGACCTCTGTTGGAAAGACCAGGCCAGCTTTATTTTCTGGCAAACCTCCAAGATACAAATCATCATCGAGGTCCAGAATTTCACTCTCTCCTGGTGCAGTGTAAGGTGTTCGCATCGTGTTGACAGAAATGGTACCTGTTGGGGAATAAAATGGAAGATGCTTTTTTGTAAACATTTACCATTACTAATTTACTTTGTCCAGTTAATACTTCCATTGAAATCCCACTGATTGCCCATAACCAGAAAATCGCTTCCATTAATTCCCTCAATGATTAATATTGTTTGTACTGTGGTGTTTCTATAAGCCCTTTAAAATGTTCTTACATATATCCCAAGTAGTTGGGTAGATGTAAGGATTCCAGGTTGCAAAGAACATCTAGTCTGAATACAGTCCAGTGATTTATACATTATACTCTGCTTTTAATAAATAATAATAATAAGTTTATTTGTACCCTACCACCATTTCCCCAAAGGGACATGGGGTGGCTCACAGTAGCACTACGAAGTATAGTATACAATATACAAACATATAAAGCAATATAAATCTAAAAAAAATTAACATACATAAACCCCATCTGATAAAATGTAAACTTCATAAAAGGTGTGAATAAAACTGGCTTTCTACAAGCAACAAAACAAAGTGCTGGGGTAAAACAGTCGCTGGTAAAACAATCTGACCACAAAATTACACAAGGTCAAAGGCCTGTCTAAAGAGCCATGTTTTTAAACTAGCCCGAAAGGCTTGGAGAGTGGGGATGACCTAATCTCTTTAAGCAGGGTATTTCAGAGCTGGGAGGCCACTACTGAGAAGGCCCTCTCTCTCATCCCTACCAACTGTACTTAAGACAGAGGTAGGACCAAGAGAAGGGCCTCCCTGGCAGTTCTCAAAGCCCATGCCGGTTCATGGAAGGAGATGAGGTCTCGAAGATAGGTTGGACCCAAAGCATATAGGGCTTTATAGGTGACAACCTGCACTTTGAATTAGGTCCAGAAACTTATTGGAAGCCAGTGGAGCTGCTATAATAGGGTATGGCGTTTTAATTTATTTTACTCCTTTTGTTTATTATGTGTACTTAGTTTATTCTTCGGCTTTGGTTATTTCATAAGTTATACTGAGTTTATTTTATGTTTTACCTTGATTGTTGTTTGATTACTTTTGGACATTAAATGTTTGCCATTTGTGGTTTGTGTGTGTGTGTGTGTGTGTGTGTGTGTGTGTGTGTGTGTGTTTAAACCACACCAAATCCCTTCAGGGAGAGAGAACAGGTTATTATTATTATTATTATTATTATTATTATTATTATTAAACAAAGAACGTACACTTAAGCGGATTTTTTATTCAAAATAATACATTTATTCTGAAATACTGCTCAAAGAAATTGTGGATAGTAATTTTGGTGTCAAGTGTCCCTGATGGTGTGATCTGAACCCCTTTCGTGATGCCACTGAAAAGTCTTATTTTCTTTGCAACTGTGACAATTTAGCTGTGACCCAGGCTTTATCACTTAAATGGCACTTATTAAACAACATCCATTCAGTGAAAGACTGTACATTTCTTTGGATTCTAAAAAAAAAATAAAATAAATAAACCAAAGACTGTCATTAAGCCAAAGAGCATTCAAATGATCTAGCAATCATCATGTGGCTGTTTATCCCTAGAAAGCAAGGGCAATCTTTAAAAGGTCTTCAGTGATTTAAGACTGCAGTGAATAAGTATAACAACTCCCAGATGGCATGGGGGTGGCATATACTCCACAACAGTGTTTTGAAATGGATATCTGGAAAGTGCTGCTCCAAGTGAGAGCGTGATTACTCTAAACCTCTAATTATATACTCAGGAGACAGCCATGCGCCTTTTTCTCCCCCTGTAATTTCTAGCTCTCAAACTGGAACTCTGACTTTAATTCAAAATCTCAATGACTTCTTAGCCCTTAAATGCTGGCTTAGCTGTGAAAAACTGCGGATACCATCTGGTTTATGCTGCCACACACTACTGGTGTTCGACAAGAATAATAAGTTCCTTCTCTTATTCCAATGTGTAATGATGATATTTGAAAAAGCTGAATGGCAGCTAGGTTAAGGACCCCTTTGTGAGCTTCTTTCTTGAATAGTATGGAGAAATTAACAAAACATACAAATGACACAGCAGCCCCAGGACACAGTTATTCATGTATCCCTTGCAGGTGGCAAAAGCCATGGAGCTTTGCAGCATGTTTTTGCAGGATTTCCAGCTTTCCACCTTTGCTTCCTTGCGCTTTGACTGCAAATTGGGCCATAGACTAACAGCAGAGCAGGCACACATTTCCCATAGGTACATGCTAATGAACCTCTTCAATCATATTTGTTATCTCAGCAATTCAGTTTTAAGAAGTCTGCTCACTAAAACCAAGACATGGCAAGATCCATTATATCAGGCTGCAACAGAGGAGAGAAGGAAGGAAGGAAGGAAGGAAGGAAGGAAGGAAGGAAGGAAGGAAGGAAGGAAGGAAGGAAGGAAGAAAAGGAGCTCTACCATTGACTTTCCCAAGAAGCCATGCTCACCAGAGGATTTTATACCTTCAACTGTCACCTGGCATTAGCTATTACATCAAGTGTCACTAACACAATGGCATGAGCAAGATTGCTATGTTTGGCATTGCTTCCCTGATCATTAATGGTGGTGGAAAACAGTAAACCCACCAAGAAATCACTAAAAGAAGTCTTCTTCAAGAATTCTGGTGTTTTGGGGCCTCTGAGTATTGAATAAAGATCTGAAAGTCCAGGGGAGGAAATGGTAGAAAAGCATTTTCTCCTATTTTTGCAATGCCTCTTTTATCCAATGACATTTTTGTTAGATTAATAAAATATTCATGACAAGGTGATCATATATTTACTCCCAACACATTACAATGAACCCTTGTATCTGTTTGCGACTGGTTCCAGAACCCCTCATGAGTAATCAAAATCCATGGCAGCCATAGTCCCATTATTTCCAATGTGTAGTGAAATGGTATACCTTATAAGTAAAGTAAAGGTTTTCCCTGACATTAAGTCTAGTTGAGTTGTATCCAACTCTGTGGGGTGGTGCTCATCTCCATTTCTAAGCCGAAGAGCTGGCATTGTCCATCGACACCTCCAAGGTCATGCAGCCTGGAGTGCTGTTACCTCCCCACAGAAGTGGTACCTATTGAGCAGCTCACACTTGCATGTTTTTGAACTGCTAGGTTGGCAGAAACTGGGCCTAACAGCAGGAGCTCACCGCCAACCTTTTGGTCTGCGAGTCCAGCAGCTCAGAGGTTTAGCCCACTGTGCCTCTGCCTCCTTGCAAGAGAAAGATGTCTACAGCCATTGTGTCTCCAACTATCTTCAAGCGCTGTGAATTTTTATGTATGTTGAACTTTATCTTATACATAATGGCAAATCAAGGTTTGCTTTGAGGAATTTTTTAAAGCCAATGATGGGTGTTTTGTGGATGCAGAGGGGAGAGTACATTTATAAAAACAATGTAGCAAGCAGACTTTTACTTAAGAGTATGTGAAACATTTGATCACTGCAGTTCCTGGTTTTGATTTCCTTTTTTCAGGCCTCTTTATGTGAATGAGTGCTTTATGTCTGTCTGCTGCTATGGAGGATTAGAAGAAATGAAATGATGTTCCTTGTTTTGTTAGTGCTCATGGTTCCTTCCATTTTTAAATTTATTTTATCTTATTTAGCCTGTTTTTCAGGACATTGCAGCTACATTTGTAACTATAATATTTTAAAGAGGAAATTCAATTAGTAATTATTTCCTCAATAAACAGAACCTTGGATATATCTAACAGATGGCTTTTATGCCAAGAGAAGTTATACACCGTATTTTCCTTCTGCAAAGAGTTCTAACATTGTTGTTTTACCTCCTCCCCATGTCAATTTCTCTATTTCCCCAGAAAAACAGGAAATATGCTTCCCCCCATCTTGACACATCATGGAAAACCCAAACAATCATGTACCACTGGAGCAAATGGCCATTATTGTTTACATCATTCTACTATGGTTTTAAGATACTGCTGTGATGACGGTGTCATGAGTTAACCAATGGGAAGCCCAATGATATGCTTGAAAAAATGTTTAATATGTTTTATAATATTGTTACCCTGAGGAGGAAAGATGGAAAGATGAGATAGTATTCTGCATCACTTTAGTTAAATCAGCTAAAACTGGATATACATTGCTCTATATTCTAGGATCTGATCCCATTTTATCTGCATATCCCATAAGATATGGCAGAGGAAATACCCTGGGACCAGATCGTGGGATATAGGGTAATGTAGATCCGGCCTAAGAGTGCATTTACCTTGTAGAATTAATATAATATGACACATTTAAACTGCCATGGTCCAATACTATGGAATCCTGGGGTATGCAGTTTGGTGAGACACTAGCACCCTTTGGCAGAGAAGGCTAAAAACTTTGTAAAACTACAACTATCAGTGATTATGTTGACTAGCAAACTTGGGAGGCTTTGTGAGGGACTGAACCAGCAGGTTTTTTGTCAAACCCTACAACTTTCCTTTACATCTAATTAAAAAAAGGGGGGTGTATTTATTGAATTGGCACATGTGAAAAACTGGAGGAGAGGTTGGCTAAGGCCCCTTCTAAAGTGATTTGATAATTTGGAATAAACAGCAGCGTAGGGTCCCTTCCGCACTTCCCCTATAACCCAGGATCTAATCCCAGATTATCTGGCAGTGGAGAATCATAAAATCCAGTTTAAAGCAGATAATCTGGGCTTAGATCTTGGAATACAGGGAAGTGTAGAAGGGGCCTAGAAGGGACCCAAGGCTTCTCCCACATAACTGTATAAAATCCACATTGAATAGGATTATATGGCAGTGTGGACTCTGGCTGGTTCCACATAGGCCTTTAACCCACGCCCAATCAGGTTTAAGAAACCTGATTGGGCATGGGTTAAAGTCCACACACATCCTCCCAAAACTTATGCTTTTAAGGGGAGAGGGGAGTCTAGGTTTTTAAGGGGATTGGGGAAGGGGGTTACAGCCCTCTGGATTTTCTGAGCTGATTCATCCTGGAAAACACAAGAGGACTGTGTGGATTACCTTCTCAGAAGTCCCAGGATTTCCGAGGGGGCAGTTCACACAGGGCCCATACTGTATGAC